CAAATTCAACTAGAGAGGAGAAGGGACCAGCGACCTCAATAAGGTCGAGACCAAGCCTCGACCACCTCCACCCTATTCAGGGACCGTCGCCTAGCAAAACAAGCCAAAACTAAGCAGGGCGGCACCTGGTCGAGGTCAAGATCACGTTTGCAAGACCGTTGCGACAGCTAGCCCAGGACTGTGACCATCAACCAAGGTTGACCAAAGCAGGATCAAGCTTCAGCTAAAATGGCTCGGGGGCTGACCCCATCCATAGAAACCCAAAACACTCCAATGACTCTTGTCTTTATTCATGACAAATGATTACAAAGCGAGTGCGGCCAAGCCACTTACAAGATAGAAAAAAACTCAGGAAGCACGAGCTGGAGGAGCACCTCGCAAGCTTTCTTCTAGCATCACGACCTCCGGGGCACGAAACACAGAGGCGCACAGGTGGGCGTTCAAGGGCACCCTCAAGACCCGCGCGATGGGCTACGCTGCCCGAGAAGGACAGTAGAGACCAACAAGCACGGCCATCATCCTCACGATGATGGGAGGAAGTCGTCTGGCCTCCAGAGTGTGAGCGCACCACCATAATGTCGTCTAGTACGACGAAGATGACATGACAGGGCATAGCAGCACAAGACCTCCGCACTTCCGGCAATCGCTGCTCGGCCCCCAACCGAGGATTGAGTTTAGGAATAAGTATCGGGTATCGTAGCATTTTTGTTTGTATTTGATAATTATTGTTCAATCATGGTTTAACTAGGCTTAAAAGATTTGTCTCGTAATTTACGATTAAACTGTATAATTAGTTATTTTTTTTATTACATTTAATACTCCATACATATATTCAAAGATTTAATGTGATGAAGAGAATGAAAAATCTTGTAATCTAAACGAGGCCTGGAATGGCCCACACGCGGCAGGGGATCTCGAGCCTGCACAGCATCGGGCAGGCCACGCGGCACAGCGTCGAGCGCGGACGAGGCAGAGCCACCGGCAGGCCTCTGGCACACGCCGTCTGACCAAGCCGTAAATGGTCAGCAGGCACGTGCATTCGCCCAGCACGGCACCGGTCACGTCAACATTTATAGCCTTTCGCAGGCACCCAGGGTACAGGCTCGAGCCCGCCATGACCAAGCACATGGGTCGACCTCAGCTCGCACATGGGACGAGACCGTTGTCCAGTCCCAGGCGCAGCACGACATGGTCCTCGCCTCAGCATAGCACCGTCCCCGTCTGCACCCGGATCGACCCGGCCAGAGGAAGCCTCGACCTTGCCCCGAGGGGCTGCCACCACCATCATGCCACAACCTTGACGCCATGATGCCACTCCCGGATAACGGGCGCAAGGACGGAGGCCACGCCATGCACTGTGCACCCATCGCGCACAGGGCGCAAATGGAACAGTGCCACCACGACACGCTATGCCTTGGCATGGGGAGCAAGAACCCAGCAACTCCATCCGGGCGTGCCGACAGAAGCAAGACAAGACATAAGGAGACCATTGACCAAGCCACTCCACTTGTGTCGGGGAGCCCTGCATTCTCTCTCTCTCTCTGCGATTGTCACCCGGCCCCAAGACTATATAAGGGAGCCGGACCTTCTTCCAAAGGACACGACTAGAAAGTTGGACGTATAATAGATTGGTCCCGGTGAGACCGATTCCCTATCTCGAACTCCAACCCCATTGTAATAACTTCAGAGCATTTGAACTGAGGAACACGAACTCGCTATTCTCTAAGACTGGAGGTAGGCTCCGTCCCAAACTAGTATAATTCCTTATATCTCGAGTGCTACCATCCAGCTCCCTGGACCAGCGCGACGATAAATTTACTGATCGGTCCACGAAACACCGACAAATAGTCACGACACAAGACGCAAAACAAGATTTCCAATAACACGACACATTACTTCCTAATGAGTGTGTTCCAGTAACATGACGCATTTCTTCCTAATGAGTGTGTTCCAGTAACACGATGCATTTCTTACTAACGAGCGTGGCAAGTATGAGCGCTCCAATTGGTAATGGCAATTAGACCAACAAAATAATTTCCTTTGGCGATGTGTGAGCACATCATGTGCACATTATAAATAAAAAATGAAGTGCAGAATGCGCAGATTTTCCCTTTGCAAACACTACAACAGAAATCTTTTTCCAGGCGGGCAAAATAGGTTAACCGAGTCGGGCATCACCGTCCGCCTCGGCCAAAACGTCTCGGTTAATCTTTTTTGCCGAGGCGGGTGAAACGCCCGCCTGCGAAAATCAAATAAAAAACAAAAAAAAAGGAAAAAAGCCCGTAGCCCAACCGGGCCTGGATCTGGGCCTCGCGTCGCCGGATCTGTCGCCGCCCTAGGCCCACTGCTGCTGCTGCCATCATTAGATCCGATGTCGGAGGAGGCCCGCGCATGCCCCCCGCATCTGCGCGCCGCCCGCCCGCCCCATTGCTCGCTTCTGCTGCCGTCCACAGATTCAACGTCGAGGAGGCCCACATCCCCAAGACGTCTGGTGTCGCCGGATCCGCCGCCCTAGGCCACCGCCCGCCCGCCTGGAATCTGCCCCGCCACAGAATCGGTCCCACCACCGCACCACCATCGAGGAGAGGGAGGAGCGTGTGGGAGAGGAAGGCGCGCCGCCGCGCCAAGGGGAGGGAGGAGCGCCGCCGCACGGTGTAGAGGGAGGGGTGCGGCCACACAGGGAGAGGGAGGAGCGCCGCCACGCAGTGGAGAGGGAGGAGCGGGCGCCGCGCGGGGGAGAGGCCGAGACGGAGGAACTGAGAGAGAGAGAAAGAGGATGAGTCTGGAACCCTAACTTCTCGTTTTTATATATGAGCCCAGTAGATGGGTGGGTATGGGCTTTGACTGGGTAAATATCCCGAGGCCTAGGTTAATGTTTGGACCATGCCTCGTAAACTCATTTTTGTAGAAGTTGAAAAAGTGCAGATTTTCTCTTTTTCTCCCAATATTGTTACTGAACCAAATGAATTTTCTACCGAAAAAAATGTTCAGAACTGTGAACTGAGTGAGCCTTCATCACCCAATTCGTAGTTCATTGCACAATGAACTCGCACATAAATCTAGCGGAGCCGCTTTCACAGTTCTACACACTTGAGCCTTACTTTGTGCTATTACATTTCATAGTGCAGGAGTATTAGGTCTTATCACCTTGGGCAACGCTACGGTAGCCTATTTACTTATTAGGAGGTAATACCTTAAACAAATCTGGATCATTGATTTTTTTTTAGATTTAATTGATTGATTAATTAATCAAGGAAAAGAAAAAAGAAGTGGGCATTGAAAGGATCTACTGGATATTTGTAGACCGGATGTATTCTACACTGAAACATCCCGTCTCCTGTCTCCCTGCACGCATAGCAGCAGCAAAACACTTTGTTGCATTGGTTCCATATGAGGATCACTCTCGAGTATATATGTAAGCATTATCGTGCTCCGGCCTACGTGTGTTGAGCAAAAGAATTAACCAACGAACGTAATAACTGACAATGACATCATATCTGGTATAGTAGAGAGGGAAATCAGAGATATATAGATGGGGAGGCGTAGGACACGTGTGAGCCGCCCGGGCCGGCGACGAGAGCATGCATATGCATGCATGCAGAAGAGGTGGCCGAGGATGCATGGTGCATGCGTGCGTCGGTTTGGTTAATACAATTCAGTTGGCTATAAATAAACGACACGCATGCCTTATTGAGAGGATGCATAAATAGCGACATAAATTAATTATTTATTAGTGGCGTGGCGGATCCGATACGAGGGGCTTGTTTAGATGTCATCCAAATTGTAAGTTTTTTCACTCTCTCTCCATCACATCAATTTTTAGCCACCTGCATGGAGTATTAAATGTAGGTAAAAAAAATAACTAATTACACAGTTTAGTTGGAAATCATGAGATGAATCTTTTGATCCTAGTTGGTCCACGATTAGACAATATTTACCAAATAAGACGAAAATGGTACTATTCATCGAGTTAAATTTTTTTGCAAAGAGAACAAGGCCGAGGAAAACGCCTGCAGATCGATCTCAGACCTATCTATGCATGTACTAATTATACGGGTTAAATTAATAGGTTTGTTATAACATCCTGAGGAAAATGCATGTACTAATTATTAGCTTGTTATAACGATAGATGCATGTACTCTCTCGATCGAGATATGATGTCATTGTCACTATTATTATTAGCTAAACGATCGAGTATAGTATATATGATCCATGCATCTATCGTTGCCAACAACGACGACGTCTGCGCCTAACCGCGGCCCTAATCCCTCCGTCGCGCAGATCCGATCGAAAGATGCATGGAGCTAGATATGGATCAGCAGCTACCTGACGACATGCTCGCCAACATCCTGGGCCGTCTCCCGCTCAGCAGCCTAGCGGCGGCGTCACGCTGCGTCCGCAAGCGCTGGTGCTCCATCATCGACGCCCGGCGCCTGCTGCGCGGCGCGCCGACCTCCTCCCTCTCCGCGTCGAGGCTTTCTTCTGCAACAGCCACATCCTATCGAGAACTCATTCCTCTTCGCACGCCCCTCGGCGGCGCGCCGAATCCCCGGCGGCCACCTCGACTTCTTCGACGACAACAATGACGTCTCTCCGGTAGCCATGGATCACTGCAATGGTCTCCTCTTGCATGCACTACTAGATGGTGGTTAACCCTGCCACACGACAATGGGCCAACTGGCCTCCCGTACCACAACACCTGGACGACTTGTCTATGTCGTATAGACTATATATTTCCCTTGTGTATGATCCCATGGTGTCGCCTAATCACTATGAGGTGTATGTATCCCATCAATTATTCACCCCGAAAAAAGTCCGGGATCCGAGAGAGATTAGAGTTTTCAAATTTGATCCTGGACTTTTTCCAAGGTGAGTAATCTATGGGGATGTCATTTCAATTATCATCTTATTTCTTAGTGGAGGATTTTTCCATCGATGAGTTTTGCTCGTCCTTGCTTCCAAAGGAGCCGTCAGGGTCAGTCGGCGCGGCGGCGGCGGTGATGGCCTCCGCTTCCGCCTCCGTCTGCGGCTCCAACAAGGGAGAGGAGTGGGTGCTCAGCCACCGCGACGTGGTGCTCATCCGCTCCGACCTCGCCATCCTCCGCGGGCCCTGCTTCATCAACGACCGCATCATCGCCTTCTACTTCGCGCACCTCTCCGCCGGCCTCCACAACGACGACCTCCTCCTGCTCCCGCCCTTCATCCCCTACCTCCTCTCCAACCTCCCCGACCCGGACTCCATCGCCGCCGTCGCTCACCCGCTACGCCTCGCCTCCCGCCGCCTCGTCCTGCTCCACGTCAACGACAACCCAGACGCCTCCGTCGCCGAGGGCGGCTCCCACTGGACCCTCCTTGTCCTCGACAGCGCCACCAGACCCTCCGCGCCACGGTTCGTCCACCACGACAGCCTTCGCGGCATGCCCAACCTCCCCATTGCCGCCCACCTCGCCGATGCACTCCGCCCCCTACTGCAATGTGATTCGGGAACTGTTGCGCTCGTCCAGGGGCACACGCCGAGGCAGACCAACAGCTACGACTGCGGCGTCTATGTCATGGCCATCGCCAGGGCCATCTGTGCCTAGTGGAACAACGGCCAGGACCACCAGGGAGGGGATTGGTTCGAGGCGGTGAGGAGGGAGGTGGACGCCCGCAGCATCAAGGCCATGAGGGCTGATCTGCTGCAACTAATCAACACCCTCATCCAAGAGAAGGCCAAGCCCAATTCCACATCTGAGGGAGACACTGACCTAGGGTCATCAGAATGATAGGCATTAGCTTAGTTGCTGCTAGTGATTTCTAAAGTCGACCTCTTGTTGATCTTAATTCTTAATCAAGGGCTCTCTTGCTGTGTCACCTTGTTTGGGAAGAGGAAGAACTGGTAGAGCATACACACTTTGTGTAAGTAGTAAGAGCATCTCCAGGAGTTTCCAAAACAATCTCCCAATCCATGATTTTTGGCGAGATTGAAAAAAATACATCTCCAACAACTCCACCTCCCAATCTTTTGGCACTTGGAAAAATTGACCCGTCGCGCGGATAGTTACGCACGCGTATACATCACGTCAATATAAGTGGAAGGATGTGTGAAAGAATAAGATATAGGACAGGGTTCCTGATGTAAATGTATAAGAAAGAAAAAATATATAAAAGTGGTTGGGTGATTTAGAAATAGTTCGGAATTTCTGATATAAAATTATCTTCTATCTTTTAGGAGTGATTTTTTTAGAAAATGCTGGAGAAATCTTTCTTTGGTGCTCCCAATATTTTTTTGGCACTTGGAAAAGTCAATAGTTTTGGGAAGAAATTTTTGGATATTCTTAGAGAGCAGCCAGTAGGAACTTGACTGACCATGATCAAAATGCTGCAATCTCACCGTGCTTATGCTTGCAAGTTTGTTGAGTATGAATGGATTCGTGTTGAAGTTCTATGCCTTTGGAGTTTGGATATTAGTCCAGTGCAGTTGTATTTGGATGACAATTGAGAATTAGTTGATAAGAGCGAAATGGTTGGTTGAGCAGTTCAAGTGTGGTTTCCTGAAACTTGTATTCACTGGAATTTTAGAACTTGAGAGCTACGTTAAATGTGTTTACATGTTTCTTACTCAAATGTTTCATGGAATATGCATATTTTATCTTGTAAAACATGCAAGTTTCTAGTATTACCATACTAGAAACACCTGCTGTTCAACTAGGTAATCCTGAACCTGTTCTAGTTGAGATGTATTATGTTCAATTCTAGTTTAAGCTTTCCTGTTAGCACCACTGATCGTTTGGCTTTCTGCTGGCATGGTTTATTATCAAATGTGTTTTAATATTTTACGATAATGAACACTATAGTACCCGAGTTCGCACAGACTATAGTTTTTTTTCTCTTTTTGATCTAATAGCCACATTTGAACTGCAAAGTGCTGCCTGATGGTAGATGCTCCAAATCGGTGCTTTTTGTTGAACTGAAACAGGCTTCCAATGCAGAAAGCAGATCTGTCCCCGGATTTGTGTCCATCAAATCCACCCACTTTCACATTTTCACTAGCTTCCTCATGATTAAGGATGGCAACGGGTATGTACCCATCGGGTATCGCCGGAACGTTCTCTTCCCCGCTACGGAGAATTCATCCCGTCCCCCCGTCCCCCCGTTAACTGTCTCGGGTATAGATTATTGCCCATCCCCGTACCCGTCGGGTATCGGTCGGGTAACAGATACCCGACGGGTACTGCATACCCGATAAACAAGGACACTTGGGGTCGCAGCTTTGCAATCGGAGACGTTTCTTCTTCACCCGGGTATAAATGTCGGAGTCTCGGAGATGTCAAGGAGAAGGAGCGAGGTTGCGAGGAGGACGAGCAAAGGTGGCAGAGAGACCGAACTGAGGAAGCGAGAGACACGAGCGCTCATGAGGCAGGCGTGCTTGTGCTGCTGGCGGAGATGGTGAGGAAAAATTGAACTAGGGTTCCTAAAACACACAAACTATATATATGATTGTTCAGATTTGGACCAAAATACCTATGTTGAGCTTCTTTGGGCCTAATACTCGCATGACAGCTCAAATAATCGGGTTCCCCAACGGGTAACGGGGACGGGTAAACAGAGAACGTTCCCGTACCCGCTATACCCATCGGGTATGGATTCTTGCCCATTTAGATGCCCGCGGGTAAAGATATGATCCCATCCCCGTCCCCTAATGGATCAAATACCCGGCGGGTATCGGGTATCGGGGCCCGTTGCCATCTTTACTCATGATGTTTCTGGATGCATGACTAGTCCCAGCTGAGAGCAAGCGTGCTTCAAGCCATTGAGCATTGAAGTGGCGGATTGAGTGGTGGAGAATGACAATTGTGGGAATGTTGCTTTACTTGGTACCTGCAATGCCCGAGCTATGCAACTGCATGCTTTACCTTCAGGTTGGCCCTTTAAATGTGCTGGCTCTGTCTGTTACTCAGAAGCGAAAGCTTGTCTCTGATACCCCGTCAAAACAAAAGAAAAAATAAACAAAAGCTTGTTTCCAATGCTGCTACACATGTGCGCCTTCATTTCTCTCATATACTGGCCTCTAGAAACTTTATATGTTCTAAATATTCCAGAAGGATAAAGGTTGACATTTTGTTGCCGATAATCTTTTCGCTGCTGGAAATTGTGACATTTTTACACATATTTGTTAGCAAGCAACTTAGGACTAAACCTGAAAGATACACATTTTTCCTGATTGATGACAAGTGTGAGTCTTTAGATTTTAATGCTTCTTCACTTCTGTTAGTACAAAGAAGCATTTCCAGAATGTATTTTGTTGTCAATGTTTATGTTGTTTAAAGTCCCATCATGGATATCTCAAAATCCTAAGGTTGCTGTGCTAGCCTGAATCATCTTTAGTACTAAGTTTAGCCATGTGTTTTGCAAGCTCCACATAGCATGGAATGTACACTTTCTGTTGCTTGCAGGTAGGTTATTAACAGCACTTGTATGCGAATATTGGAGTGGGCGCAACTAAGTCACATGAAGAAAGTTTACCTGTCGTGTAACCTGATAGTTGGTGAATGTTCCTGACATTTTGTTTGTGCATTGCAGAAATCAGCATCAACTAATGTTTCTCTGTTTCATTTGTAAACTAGGCCAAGGACTTCTGGAAGAATCAACTGATGGACTTTTCTAACAAAAGTGGAGCTGAAGGGAGCAGGAGTGCTGAAAGTGGTCCCATGCTTTTAGATATTCTCAAAGGTTATTTGAAATATGAGGTTTATGTCTCTCTTGATCATCATCATATAACAGAAGCTAGAATCATCTTTTTATTTCTTTAAGTTTCCAATTATATACAGAAAAGAGGGAGAAAGCTTTTGGGGGTATTACCCAGTGTTTTATTCTCCCGTAAAACTGTATGGTCCTTTATGGATCCTCTTATGCATTATGTGCAGTATCAAGGATGTGGTATTTGTAAGTTTGATAGAAAGATAAAACATTCAGAGAATGTAGACAATAATTCTTAGAACAACCAGAATTGATGAAAATTGGTATGCTCTGTTAGTCCTTGATTTTGGTTAGTTGTCTTATGCCGCATGGGATTTATGCATTAAAAAATGCATTATCATTACCATCGCACTGAGATCTGTTTACGTGTGATTTGTCAATCGTAGCGTATTGATGCAAGGACCTATTGTCAAGGTCTCCTTTTGATGGTCTGTGGTGCTTGACTGCTTGGGGTGTCAGCTGCATTTGTGCTGCTTTCTGCCTATGAACTTTAGTTCACTCTGTACAAGAAATTTGATTTTTTTTTTTCAGCTTGGGTTTTCACTGTCCTCAAGCAAGTAAATTTGTTTTGTTTATTAATAATTTTTTATTAACGTCCAAATATAGTCAATGTGCTCCAATGTAAAAGTTTTGGTTTTCCAGTGCATGCTTTGGTCATCTAAATATGTTTGTTGGTCATAATTTGTCTCAAACAAGGATAGGCAGCAGGAGGATGATGGGATCCATCACTAAATGCTGATCATAGGAAGGCAGATAGTATATATCTACTCCCGTGTTTTGTGCCCATACCTAACAGTATTACATGCCTGTGCGCTAACTACCTCCCTCTGTCCTCTGCCCAACTCCCTTGCTAGTTGCCCTTGCATTCCTTCCACCAGTCTATGTAACTGCAGCAGAGTGGCGGACTAAGGCCTTCCGCAGTGTTGCAATTGAGTGGTGCCAAAAGAAGAAAGAGAAGATTTTAGCTTCACTCCACACACTGCAGGCAGTGAAGCCAACTCCAGAGTGATGCCTGGAAAATAGGGAGCGGTGCATCTACGTGCTCCGGTGCCAACTGATGCCCAATCAATAAAATAATACAAAGAAAGAAGAGCGAGTGGCAACAGTCTGTGTGTGTGTGTGGCAACTGAGGAGAGAAGGAGTGGTTTTCATTCTTTATTTCGTTTTGGTTGCATGGTGCAGAGCTAGTGGGTCCCAAAGTGGTGCCGAGTGATGTCCACCCATTGCAGCCTTTCAGGAGTGACGCCCAAAGAAGTGGTGGGGCCCAGCTCTTTTCTTTTGGCACCGCTTACCACTGCGGAAGGCCTAAGGTGACCACGTGTGCGAACCCTCCTGTTTTTCCATTACTCTCTTTACTCCTAAACGGTCGTTTAGCCTGTTTACACATCGTTTAAACGCTATACAGTGGTACATCGTTTCCGTTTAATCGGTTGTTTTGACCGTTTAAATGGTCGTTTATCCCGTTTTAACAGCCGTTTTGCCCGAATAATGGGCTAAACGACAGGTGACCGATTGTTTACCGTTTAACATTTAGAATAACACTATCTTTACTTTCTCAGTTCATCGCCTATTGGACCTTGGATTACTATAATTTGGTTGATTTATTGCGGAACTTTGCAATTTCACCACAAATAGTTCGGTTTTTATCTGAAGTATTGGTGTACTACTCTCTTAAGTTGCATAATTCCCCTTTGCATTAGATGTTAGCTCTCTCTATATATATACAAACAAGCAAATGAGCTGCGGCTTTGATTACAAATTCATAAGTTTTCAGGTCAGGGAAGATGCAACCTCATGAGAAGGTTGCTGTTCTGAATCCTGTGGCCTCCAGGCCTTTATCCAGCTTAAGGTCCTTCCCAAAGGTTCTGCAAGACTTCAACGTGACCGGTTCCCCAACAATCATCATTTGGGAGGAGTTAGATCTAATCAGGCCAAAAGCCACTCGGTTTGCATCGCTGCTGGGTGATCTTCCAACACAGATAGCAGCAACCATAGTAAGTCTCACAATGGTTTTGCTTTGGAAAGAAGCTCCATGAATTTTGATAACGACGATTTTCTGCTAACTGGAGGCTTCTAAATTCAAGTATTTGTCTGTCATATATTCGGTTATTGACCTTATCCAGGGCATCTTCATTTCAAGTGTTGTGACCATGTAACAGCATGCCAAACTTCCAAGAGGCATGGTACGGGTGGCCGTTTATCACTTGATGGGTACAACTGGAGGAAATATGGGCAAAAGAAAGTGAAAGGTAGAGAGTTCCCACGGAGCTACTACAAGGCTTTGTTTAGATATCCTCAAAATTTCAAAGTTTTTTCACTCTCTCCATCACATCAATTTTTAGCTATTTGCATGGAGCATTAAATATAGGTAAAAAAAATAACTAATTGCACAGTTTAGTTGGAAATCACGAGATGAATCTTTTGAGCTTAGTTGGTCCACGATTGGACAATATTTACCAAATAAAACGAAAGTGCTACTATTTATCGGATTAAATTTTTTTCAATCTAAATAAGGCCCAAGTGCATTCACCCCAGCTGCCCTGTGAAGAGGAAGGTGGAGACAACAATAGATGGCCAAATTGCTGAAATTGTGTACAGTGGTGAGCACAACCACCCTAAGCCAGGCAAGCCTCGTCCCCCATGTTGATATTTTTGGGGAAATTTCTAGAACTCTTGATTCTAGTCTTTGCTTAGGGTTACATATATATACATACATGGTACATAAGCCCATGGGCCTTTGCACACTTATACACAAATAAAGCTCAACACTCCCCCTCAAGATGGGTGATAGATATCTATCATTCTCATCTTGCTACATGCTAAATTACATTCTTTTATTCCTAAACCTTTTGTTAAACAATCAGCTATTTGACCACCTGAGTTTACATGACTTAACTCCAATATCCCATCATCTAATTTCTCCTTGATGAAGAAGTGATCTATCTCCACACGCTTGGTTTTATCATGCTGAACTGAATTAGTCGCAATACTGATTGCAGACTTGTTATCACACCAAAGTCTCATGGGGCCTTTTCTGAATCAATCAGCTGGACCATTTATGTGATGTGATGGCTGCTGAAACTGTCATTTCAATTCCGTGTATTTTTCTTGTCCTTTGCTTTCTTTGTATTTTTTCTCTCTTTCTTCGTTTCTTCCATTCCATACCAGCGAGATGTATATATACATACAGTGATGAATAATCAATCTAGTGGGAGGGAAGGAGGGAGTGTTGATCAGTTATTAAAAGAGATTTTTGACACAATGCAACAAAAGAGTGCATACTATATATACTCATAATCAGCATTTTATTTCAATCAGGTGGCTAAATAGAATTAGACTATTGATCTGGAAAATAGAGGCTATTTTGACGGACTGCTTACTGATTGGTGCCTGCCTTTCGAACAGATGAATTAGGAGATTATTAACCACGTGCCTTTTCAAAATTAAATCGTGACACGCCGCCGACACCATGACACGCCATTGGTGTGATTCTATTCGTGGAGCGGTCGAACTAACTCGATTAGCTAGCGTTGGTTGAGAGCATATCCAACAGACTCTTTATATTTTTTCTAAATTACAAGAATAAAAATTTTAGTAAAAAACACACTCCAACAAGCTCTTTAACTGAATACCCAAATACAGATATACTCCGTTCCAGATTTCTCGCTAACCAAAGATAAAGAATGAGAATAGCTCTCTAGACTACACACAAGATATATAAAAGCTGTTATATAAAAGCTGTTGGAAAGCATAACGATATAGAAAACGGCTCTTGGAGATGCTCTCGTTGGGATCGGAGACGCATTGGCGTGAATTCATATCGGAAGGCGCGGATCGATCAGAGAGAAAAAAAAAGACGCGCATGGCATGCTGCAGATCGAGCGAGCAGAGCACCCCCGGCGCTCATCGGTTTCGGGCTCCAGTCCACCACCCCCACCCCATCGCATCATCTCTGGACTCGATCTATAGCTAGGATCGGAGGTAGTTGTATTCTATCTCTACTCGATCGATCGCGCCTCTCCGATCCATCACCGTCACCGTCACCGTATCGATCCAAGCCAAGCCAAGCGGAGACGGATCGGGACGACGGGATTCAATGGAGGAGGTGCTACCTGACGACATGCTCGCCGATATCCTGGGCCGCCTCCCGCCCAGCAGCCTGGCGGCGTCACGCTGCGTCCGCAAGCACTGGTGCTCCATCATCGACGGCCGCCGCCTGCTGCGCGCCGACCTCCTCCCTCTCCGCCTCGACGCCTTCTACTGCATCAGCCTCGACCTCATCGAGCGGCTGACGTATTTCTTCTCACGTCCTTGGGCAGCGCGTCGAATCCCCGGCGGCTGCCTTGACTTCCTGGAAGATTACTACGGTCTGGAAGTGGAGGATCACTGCAATGGTCTGCTCTTGGTGTGTGACATGGTGGTCAACCCTGCCACACGGCAATGGGCCAACTTGCCTACCTCCCCGGAACCATCCATTGGCGACACGACATGCTTGGTGGGGTCAGCGTCTGGGCCGGGACGACGGCGGATCAGGATCAGGAGAACGACGACCACCACTTTTTGTATTCAAGCTTTTACCTTGTGTACGATCCCATGGCGGAGTCGCCGCAGCACTTCGAGGTATTTCTTATCCCCTTATTACTCGGCCATGATCTGGGCAATAATCGCGAAAACATCACCATCGACCTTAAGGAGCAAGAATGGCAGCCATCGACATTGAGAATCCACGTCTTGTCGTCGAGGTCCTGGATCCGCCAAGGGGAGCCTGCCGGGACCATGGCCGATATGCTGCAATCCGATTGCTGGGATGGGACCGCAAGGCCGTCTATTTTCGGGGAGCACTCTACGTGCATTGTCAAAACGATTCTGTCTGTTGACACTGTTTTTTTTTCACGTGTCAAAATGATTAGAGTGGGCTAATCGGCAGGAGAAAAGTTACTATATACGCTGACAGCCGATGAAAATCAGCTTGTAAAGATGGTTGCCGATGAATGGTGGTGATCGATGGAAAGGTTGATTTAGACTCGGGCGTTGCCGATAAGGTTGGAGATGTTAGTGTCGATGCCGATGAAGGAAGGCTTGAAAACTACTGCCGATGAAACAGGAAGTATGCCGATGGAAAGGAGGTCGGTAAGAATTCCATCGTAATTGAGGCGGACAGGGAAATAGATAGGAGTTGATTTCCTTTTCTATATTTGTTAGAGTATGATTCATGCAAGGTCTCTTTAGATCAGGGTATAAATATAGATTGAGGGGCAATGTAATATATATCAATCAATATCAAAACCAATTTTTACTCCTATTTGCATCTACTTACTTTTCGGCGACTTCGTCAATTTGCATATTTTTCCTTTTTACGAGTTCTCATTGATTCGGCGAGTTGCATCGTTTCAGTGCAACCTTCGGCGATTCTCGAGTTCCGCGTGAGTACCTCTTGGCCGTGACTTCCGGGCGTATCGCTGTTGTCAGGACCAAAGTGCTCGTATCTTCATCCTTGTCGATTAACAGGTCAAATCGACTCGCACGCTTTGGATATCGATTTGGGTATTAGCCCTTTGTGTTTGCAGATCCACTTTTGCATCAACACATCTTTTGGCACGCTCGGTGGGACCAGTCAATCCGATCAATATGATCAATCCCGAGATCGATTCAGGGAACATTATCGCGGTATCAGAAGATCTTAAGGAAGAGCAGAGGCATGCCATTGAAAAGGCTATAGAAGAATACATGCAGCTTTATCTGAGATCGTTTAGCCTGAACAAGAGTGGACAAGTCATCCAGAAGCAAGATTTGTCGTTGCCTCGGCAGGTTACCTTTGACTCCAATCCTGGTAAACTTCAAGAGATGGTTAATTCTGCAGTAAATCATGCTTTGATTAATCATTCCAATGTGCTGTCCAATCACTGTTCATAATCTTTGTGGTTCGAACTCTCAAAGAAGGACAAGCGTCCACCGCATTACGTTGGGCCCGCCTATCACCAACCGAGCCAAGATCATCAATACTCCATCGGCTCCCTCGGCCGCTGTGGGTACATAAGTTATTTCTCCTCCAAAGATCGGCGAACTTACCTAATATTCAATCTACACCGATACGATCGGATCCGGTACTACCGGGAGGACGAGTTCAGCTTAATACGAGATCTATCGGCATCAGCTATGTCGAGCCCTCGTGTCTCGAATAGCCGATTCCCGCTAATTGGTGGGGATATGGTATGCCTCCGAGTCATCTGCTTTCAATCTCGGTTTACCTCAAGTGTTTGATGCGAGAGGAAAAGCTCCTATACCATCGGGCTGTTTCACCGATGGCTCAAGTCTCTCAATATGCCACAAAGCAACTACCGTGCAACCAACTCCGGAGGTTTCCAGATGCCTTTGGTTTAAACACCCAATTCAAGTCCATCGGCAAGCTTATCGCCGATGCAAAGAGAAAAGCCCGCTATGAGTCAAACCGGGGTTCGATTCATGCCTCAAGCTGGTTATAATTATCCAACAATGTCGACAAATTACCAGCCATCGATAAGTTTTGTACCGATGAGTTCTAATAATGGTTGGTCGGATGATTACTGCTCAACATACGCTTCAAAGAAAATCAGCGAGTTGCGGGATTCAACAAGGTCATATGCAAGTGGTTTCAGAATCAAGCATCGGCAAACTCATTGATGAATCCTTTCCAAAGAGTTAATGGACCACAAGTAACAAAAATAAATGCCGATTGTCGGAGATCGTGGGCCACAAAGATATGTGGAGGGATATCGGCAGTACCTCCTATAGAAATTCAGCCAGTTAAATCGTTAGGAGGTCGATGCTTTTTGAGCGATAAGATAGCGTAAATTATGAAGGATCGATTTTGGGATAAAGCCCAAGGTCAATACTTATTCTTATCGGACTCCATACCCTCCTGCATATGATTTAATTCCTCTCCCAAATCGGTACAAGGTACCAGATTTCACTAAATTCTCTGGGCAAGATGATACATCAACAATGGAACACGTCAATCGCTTCATTATTCAATGTGGAGAGGCAGCTAGCAGAGATGAATTAAGAGTTCGATTATTTTCATCATCTTTGTCTGGATCATCATTTACATGGTTCATTTCATTACCACCAAATTCTATTATTACTTGGGCTGATCTAGAAAAACAATTTCATAAGTATTTCTTTCTTTGAATCCATGAAAAGAAGCTTACCGATTTAGTAAAATTGAGACAGTAGAATGATGAATCGGTAGAAAGCTTTGTGCAAAGGC